CCTCACGCCCCCGCCCCGCCACGCCCCGCGCCAACGACGCCCCCCGCTGGCGCACGCTACCACAAATGCACCCACCGGGCGGGCACAGGCAGGAGCGCACGCCCCGCCGCAGCTCTCCAAACAAAAGAATCCGGAGGACATCGCAGATTAATGTCAGTAGCGCCGACTCGGACGCGCCCCCCAGCTCCATGCGGCCGTGCCCCGCCCCGTCCCCCTGCGGCGACACAATCGCATTGCGATGCACTGGGGCCCGTACGCACGTGAAGTTGTACCGAGGCTGCAGGATTTAGAGCCACCCGCCTCGCCGCGGGTCTGTTGTGCCGGTCTCGTTCATCTCTTTTCCCTGGTCTCTCTCTCTCTCTCTCTCTCTCTCTCTCTCTCTCTCTCTCTCTCTCTGTGTTTCTCTCTCTGATAACAACAGCTCTGGCTGTTGCAAAAAGAGATAGAAGCAGAACAGCCAGCGTGACAATCGCGTGGAAATGGAATGTGTTGTGTTCGGCTGATGCCGGAGCTGGCCGTTTGCTGGGCGGGGGAGAGGGGGAGTGTACTCACTCGGCGGATGCATGGTACCACGAAAAACACTCATACGTTGTACGGGGAATTACTGATCATCCATTTAAAGGACCTTTAAGTATCTCTGATTCATATTCATTCAGTAAATTAGGGGGCTCAGCGCCTGTGAGACTCAGGGTAGGCTAGCCCGCAGAACTCGTACGCACTGCGGGCAGCGCGTTGCCTACCTATCAGGCGCTACGAGAGCATAGGCTTGCATGAGCAGAGGGAGAGGGAGAGATCGAGAGAGAAAAAGGGGGTTAGAGGAGGTCCGCAACCCCCACCTTTTCCACGATATTCGATGTGGTGAAGCGCGGTCGCACGGGGGATCACCCGGCCGCCCAAACGTGAGCGATCAGGTCGGACGCGAGATTAGCTAGCTATGTTGCGTTCCGAAGCGAGCTGTGTCCCACCATCAACCACACTTCTGTACTCGAGCTTCCCCTCTCCCCTCTACGCCTGTTCTCACGATCTCCTCTCCCTGTCCTGCTTCAAAATTTAATAATTTATGCAACAAGATGAGTGAAAAGACCTCAGAAGACCAGTGGCCTGGCCCACTCCACTGCCTTACGCCACGACCACGGTCGTGGGCCGTTTATTTTATTTTTGCCGTCGTTATCGTGTCGCTCATCTCGTCAATAGACAGCGCCGTCACTCACAGAAATCACATTAATAATGTTTACTCTAGCCTCGCTGGATTTGGAGGACCAGGCGGCAGGTCGTTGAAAGGAAACATAGATGGAGGGACAGACAGGGAGGGAGTGGGAGGAGAAGGAGGAAAAGGTCGGGAGGAAAGGAGAGAGTGGGGGAGGGAAAGGAAGGAAGACGAAAGGAGAGAGAAGGAGCGGGAGGGCACGCAAGTAGAAGATTTTGTCACCGAAACGAAGTCCTTTGTTAACTTATATATAGCCAAAACATGTTAGTTCCAAGAGCGAATAATCTGCATCTGCAGAGAGAGCAGAAATTTTGTTTCATCAAGTTACACCCCCATAGCTCGTTACATAAATTTCGCAAATAGGCAAGAAACTCGTAACGAGGGGCCGTCAATTCCGATATTCCTTCGTACACTGGGCTGGCATTATACGCCGATATTTGCCCAATATTACTACTCATATTATTAGTGACAATGCCGGATAAAACTGCGGTATTACGGTTATGATACGTTAATAATACAATATTACCTCAATATTACTTTAATATCGCTTGTACAAGGTGGCTGATTCACGCCGCGCACTTCTGTAGTTATGCTGTACCGCATGCACGAGTGCGGGCGGGCTTGCCTATCGCCTCTGTCCACGGCGCCTTACGAGCCGAGCGAGTAGGCAACCCGCCCGCACTCGTGCGTGCGGTACAGCATAACTACAGAAGTGCGCGGCGTGAATCAGCCACCTGGTATCACCAATACCATGTAACATTCTTTCGTACACGGCCAATGGGAGTTCACAACCCCACGACTCGTACCCCGACTCATACCCGGACTCGTACGCACAGAGTCAGCAGCAATACTCACAAACATTGCTGTTCATACCAACAAATTTTGTATAAGTCATTGTAATTTATTTTGTTGGTAAGTACTTAACGTGCTCTTTCATCATTCATCTATGACGTATACCTCAGGTCTGTGTATCGTACTTTGTCATTCGCTACAACACTAGGCGTACCTGCACAGTGTGTCTTCATCTCCGTCTTCATTGCAGGGGCGCGTCTCACTCCATCTCCGTTGGGAAGAATCAGCCGTAAGCGGACCTGAAACAGACGAAGCATAACAAAAATGACGCGGCGTGAGCTTAGAGCAGTCCGTGAAGGTGGCGCGTGCCGTACGACGTGGCGGCGACAGGGGGGCGCCAGGCGTGGCGGCACCACTCCAGACGACTCCTTTTGCACATCTCGGCCTGAATTTAAACGCGGTGATTGCGTCGTTCTCGCCGCCCTGCTAATCTGCTTAAGCAGCCCCTCCCCTCCCCGCCTCTTCGTGGTGGGTCCTCTCTGGTGGGAGGGGGTGGCACGCTCAGCTAGGGAGAGTCGGGAGTCGGGGCGATGCGGGGCGTGGCGGGGCGCGGCGGGGCGTGGTGGTGCTCTCACAATTTTGAGTTATGGCGCTAAGATGGCTTGAGCAAGACTAGCTGCTCTTGCTGTTGCCTCCCGACCCCGCTCGGGGTCCTCAGAGGGGGGCGTGACGTTGCGGGGTGGGGTGGGGCGTGGACACTCGAGTCGTTGGGCCCCGGCTTGCCCCAGCCCAGGCAATGGGGGTGTTCGTTAGTGAGAAATACTAGCAGGCCCAGCCCAGCAGCAGGCCCAAAGGGGCAACAGGCGTCGGGTAGGGTTTGGTAGCAAGAGAAAGACGGAGAGAGAGAGAGAGAGAGAGAGAGAGAGAGAGAGAGAGAGAGAGAGAGAGAGAGAGAGAGTGTGGGAAGAGGCAGAGGCCCGGAGCCAGATCGTCTTTTTTTAGTCGAAACCTCAGCATCCTCATCTCATCCCATTTCATGCGGCTGAACGGTTCGGATGCAAATGGGCACACGCCTTGCGCGCGGACCAGGGCTGGGGTACGGTTACACTGCTTCAAACTGTTCTGCCAGAGTATAATTTTCACTTAGCGCCAAAGGTTTTTTGTTGGAGCTACATCGTTACCCTATTACCCTAGTGGCCAAAAACAGTTTCCCGTCAGTTTGTCTGCCTGACAACTCGAGAACGAATAGAATGCTATTAGGAGGATGCACTCGAAAAAAATCCTGCTTTTGTCTGGCGCATGCGTTGAGCAGAAGTTGACAAATTTTTAATGTTTAAATAATTTTGCATTTTTGATGGTCTACGTGCCTTAAGGCCTGTAAGATTGTGTTGGCTGCGTGATAGCGAAGCCTATGACACGGCAGGCTGAAACAGCTCCTTGATATCCAAGGACCAAGACACCGATTCGAAAAACGGGGGTGGGGAAAACACATGGGGCGTCCGTCCTTGAATCGGTGTCTTGGTCCTTGAACTATCACGGAACGTTTTTTTCTTGTACTCTAGTGATGATCAAAAAGTTCCGTATCAGTCTGTGTGTGTGTGTGTGTATGTGCGCGCGCGCGCGCGTGCGTCTGTCTGTAGTCAAGATATAACTCGAGAACGGATTGAACTAGCGACCTGAAATTTCCCGGATCGTTTTGTATCATAAAAAAAACACATCAAGTTCAGAGATCAGCATTCTAGCTCAAAAATTTACCTGTCAAAAAATCAAAATCAAAAAGCCCCAAAAATAAAGTTCTTTGAATTTAAAAAAAAAAAAAAATTATGTCCTTCCTAGAAGTAACTCATCAAAGTAGAGTCTAAAGGCTCTATCTTGAACCGTTCACTAGTAAAACAAGTGTTTAATTTTGCACGTCAATTGATGTTTAAGTTCAAGTGTGCATTTTCTCCATACATTGTGATGTCTTACTATGTTAAAGTCAATTGGTGTTTAAACTTTCGACACTTCCGCAAAGTATTGCAGCTGGACACCAAGGTTCCCATAGAACTGTGTGTGTCCAAGTGTTCAGAATTTAAACGTTTACAAAAGTTTAAAATGTGCACACCACGCAAGTGGGCAACTTGAGTAAACACCATGTAATGTTTAAAATCATAACTTGCACACAGGTGTGCAAATTGTACACACCTGTTTTACCGGTGTTTAGGCGCTAGAGGGACATTCTCTCCCCAAAATGACCCCAAAACAAATAAGTGTTATTCCTCGAATATCCGATTGTCTTCTTTGGGGTAAATCGTCAAAATAAAACACTGTGGATGAAAGTTTGGCACTTTTGAGGCTGAAGGCCTCTGTACGACATTGCCTTTTGCCAAACTTGGGTATCCGGATTAGTTGGGCGAAAACGGGCAATCGCGTGCCAAGTACGGGGTACGGGCATAGCGCGCGGGGCCCGGAGATCCGGGCGGGGTCGCGCGTGTGTCAGCCCAGCGGCGAGCGGAGCTGGGCGGCCTGCCCGCCGCGCGACTGCCCACGCGTTGCCCGCGGGTGCTCGTGTCCTGGCATCGGGACAACAGCTCTTAGGCGTTCGTGAGCCCTCCAGACCTGAAGATTAGTGAAAGCCCCTTGTGCGTATGCTCCCGCATGCCAGGGGTGTGGTCGAGTTGCCTATGCACGACGCGTGCACACGTCTATTGGCCAAAGCCCTCCCTGGCCACGGTTTCTTTCCTTTTATTTTTATTTTCTATTTTTTCCCCCCGATTTTTTCCTGTTGTGGTCTGGCGTACATCTACCTAGTTGTATGACCAGATTGCAATCCAAATACCCTCCAATACACTGTTATCTCAAAACATAACGTAAAAATATGAGCTGGGGAAAGCGTAAGCACCTCCCGAATCGACCGGTGAACTTTACGGGAAAATGTTAGCTGTGCAGCTCGTTTGTTTGCAGCAATGTTTTTTCGTCCCTGTCTCGGCTCTGTGGCGCTCTCCTTTCTTTTTCCTTGACTCCCGGGCCAGGCGGCAGCCCATCTCCCACCTAGTCCTGCAAGACGAGTACGTTGCCATATTTCTCACAGCTAAGGAGGATTTGGGCTCCACAGAGAGCCGCGGCGCAGGGCGCGCATTCTCTTCACGTGTGGGCTGTCCGGCCCGCCGCCCCGCCCGGGCCCGCCCCGCCGGCTCTCTTTTGATGTCGGACCCATCTTATCACCCTCGCCTGCCTCGTCGCACCGCCACCGGCCGCCACGCCGACCTGCTGTACAAAAGACAAGATAAACTGATTCTTTAGACAAAAAAACACGAGAATACTGTACAGTTCTTTGACAGAAAATATGTAAGTTTCTTATTCTTCATAAACGCATTAGGCATGCTTCAATGGTACGTTGTGCCATCCACTAAAGAAATATCATCAGTCGGTACCGTAAAATGTGATATTTCTTTAGTGGATGGCAGATTAGTGACTCGGATCATAGCTTTCTTACTCCTCCTGGGAGAAAACACACGCTGAAGGAGGATAAATAACCTCCCCGCCCGACCCCAACCCGCACTCGTTAGGGTCGTTCATACCGGACAGCGCGGTGCAGGGGGCGAAGCGTCATGGTTTAAACACTACGCGTTGCATTTTGAGCCGCGTCTGGTAAACAGCCAAACAATAAATATATATTCAAGCAAGGTATACCTTGCTGTGAGTAGTCCGCTCAGCGCGCTCAGCGCGCACGTGCGTGCAGCCCTCGTGAAAAAATAGTTTTCAATTTTAAAACTAGGAGTCCATAATGCACAAAGACACCACGCAAAAATAACGCAACAATAATTTCAAAGGTGCTTTGCATGCCATTAAAGTGCCTGAAACACTTTAGGTGACTTAAATCTCCCTAACTGTGGGTTCGTTTCGAAGTTAACAAGAATTGTTAACGTTTTTTCCCTTGGAGCCGGTGGAGCGCGACCGGGCCCGGCCAATTGGTCCCCACTGGGCTACTGTGCCAAACCGGATGCATCCTGCTGGAAATGATTTCAGTAGGGGAGAGGGAGAGGGGAGGGGGGACAGTCTCTGCACCCCGGAGCAAAGCCAGCTAGCGCGGCCCACCCCGGCTCCACGGGCCCATGGGCCCACTGAGGTGTGAAACCCAAATTAAGCTGAAAATGCTCCGAGTGAAAAAAGAGGGGAAGGAGAGGGGCGGAACAGAAGCCAGGGGGAGGTGGGGGGAGGGGGGAGGATTACCTCCTCCGAATGTTATCGCCGGCGACGCAGCACAGCTGGCGAGGGGAGGGGGAGCCAGGGCGAGGGAAGAGGGGCGTTAGGTAAGAGGCGTTGAAGGTACGTAAACAGCCCGTCCCGTCCCGGGCAAGGCGTGCCAGGTGCTGACGTCGTACTCGCGTCTGGTATCGGGCAGACGTCGCTCTGACGTCGCTCCGACGTCACCCACAGACTGACGGCACAACAGCACTGGGGTGGCTCCGACGCGGTAACTAATAGGGAGGCCTGCATCAGCCCTGCCCGCCCTGTAGGCGACATAATGAAACCACGTGCCTCTTCATTCACGTCATTGCAGCTCGCTCATTAAGCCACATTCACTTTTTCTCTTTGGACTTTTGACTTGCGACACCGGCATCGCGGCACCGTGCGTCGTTTCATAGAGACCCCGCAGAAGATGAGGGAATTTTGGAAAATATTTGGGTGACTGGAAGTACACTACTGATTACGAGTAGTTTTGACTGGAAAGCGACTGGACAAAGTTGTTACTAGGACCTGCACACCAGTTGGCTGAGGTCTCGACCCCCTTGGCACCCGGACGAACCCACTAGAGGAGTAAAAAGCGCCCCAACTGCTTCGACATGATATTGAACTGATCCTCAGCTGACTGCCAATCTAAAACAGGCTAGGGATGTGGGAAGGTGGGAAAGAGAGAAAGAAAGCAAGGGAGGGAGAGGGAGAGAGGGAGAGAGAGAGAGAGAGAGAGAGAGAGAGAGAGAGAGAG